GCTGACACTTATTTAGAAAAAGATTCTTAATCGATTGTTGCAATAAAAGCTTGGTGTAATTTAAATCTTTCTGGATATTGCATATAAAAGTGCAAACTTAGTCTGTCCTTATCATAACCGGTGTAAAGTACAAAAACAAAAAACTGTTTGAAAGAATAAATTGCCGGAAAAGTGCAAAATAATTTTTTCTTCCCTTTCGCTGACAAAACTGCACACATCCATACAATAATAAGTAAAATATGGGCCCCCATCAAATATGACAAATGGATTAAATATAGAGGGGAAAAAATTCGACATAAATAAACAAAGCCAATATATATACACATAAACAAATTAGAAACCAAACATTATTAAATCCTATAGAACGGATATAATAGTTGAAAAAATAGAAAATGCAAAGTACTTTTTTTAGGCAATTTGTCTGTTTTTTTTTTTTTTTGTTGCAATTCAATTAAGTTTTATAGGAACCACAAAATGCCTAAAAGTGATAATGTTTTTGTTTTCTGTTTGTGGAAACTATTCATGCTTTTGCAAATATCCGTGATATAGTAATATTTAATGTATTAAAAAAGAAAAGTAAATAAATGTAAAGGTAACGGTAAACATATTATTGGAATAAAAAGGATTATATAGAAATTAGAATACAATAAAATGCAAAATATAAAGAAACCTGTTAATTATAAATAACTACTACTACTACTACTATAAGGTGCGAAACGGATGATTGGTCTTTGGAGGCGATTCGTAAAAGTGGCTTCATTTGGATACCGTCGTAAAGAACGGAAGCCCATTCGCACAAACAATAAGCCGTGTGCTGAAACACTTCTTAATCGAATGGAGTAATGTCTGCTGATAAAAGTGTGGAGAGTAGAAAATTTCAAGTAGAAAGAGCATTTCCTTAGTTTTGCTATAAGGGCTCGAATTTGTTCATTTGGAAAACTCATGATATCATGACGCCTATCGCGTCCAAGTAGCATCAGTCATTGGTGGTAGCATTCTTTAAGGGTGATTTCATTTGGGATTGGAACAAACCAAAGCACACTACGTCTACCTGTTATTAATGTATATGCGAATTAACTTACGATATTTCATATAATCGATAAATGATAACACCTCACGCGTACTTATGGAAATCAACAGCTATTTAAAATTGTTTTGTTTATATTTGGTTTTGCGGTAATTGCGGAAGAAATTTTGAATTAGGGATGGCAAAGAAGTGAATCTCTATGTTACAAAAATGGTGTTATGCCGCAGTGTAAGAACAAGAAGCAGTTTATTGATGCGTTTCTAGCTGTAGGCTTTTAGTTGCTTTTTTGTATTTAATTTCGCGTAGAGTCAAAAGATCGAATTAATTTGTTTGTCTGTACGAATTGTTGGCATAATGATCAATGTATTAGGCACATAAATAAACTCTGTATTTTTTGCTAAAATTTAATTTTATTTATAACATGGTTATTACAAAGCTCATTAATTGAAATATGCGTCTATCTATACCTGTTATCGGGTAGCTTAACAATGCCTCCGGGGTAGAAACGTCACGGCATTTTCGCATATCTTCAATTTTTATCAGATACTGCTCTACTAAATACAACTTAACCTATAAATTTTTATAGCTTTAACTGAATTTTTTTCAGGTTAAAATAGAATAGCATGCAGCTTCGTGAATACTGCTTGTTGATATCCATCTTTCTACTCTCTGATGTACAATAAGTGACAGCTGGTAAGCACCTGAATGTCAAAGGTGTCTATACATAAATTTCACGAAAAATGAACACGTCTGGTCCGTGTTATACATGATCAAATTTCAACAAGGAGAACATATTTCGACGCCTAATACATGTTTATTTCATTAAGTCTTAGATTTTAAATTATATCACTAATGAAATGAATAAATAACATTACAATAGCCTTCTCATCATAAATTTGTTATACCTGCCACCAAAGGTAGCGAATATATTTATTTTGAACGTTAACAATACCCAGAAGGATGCTTTATAAATGTCATAAAGTATACATATACGGACAGCATCGACTTCTGAATCAATTTAAACACACCCATCTGCGCGTCTGTGGTAAACTTAGCTACTTAATATATTATAGTGTATCAAAATGTCAATGTTTTGTCAACATGTTTGTGACTTCTATAACGAAGCTTCAGAGCTATATTCCACGCCAGTGCCAAATACGAAATTTATTTAAGCATGTTCCTCTGTTCGTCTGCGAATCGTGATTAAACCAATGGTACTAAAATAGTTTCTCGTTGGCAAAAATTAAAATATCATTGTTAAGTATGCTAAAAATATTGGAGGCTGTTATTGAAAATGAGCTAAATCGGTCAAAGCACAGGCCTACCGTGCAATATAAACTGAGACGACTTCTGCATTTTAGGTTTCTTGTTCATTGTTCATAATCCTAGAAAAATGGAAAAAATGGGCCATGTGCTTTCAGTGTTATAGAGAATGGAAATCTATTTTTTTATTTAAATAAAGTTGGTTTGCGTGTTTGTGTAAAAGATTCGGTCACATGTTTTTATCGTTTGATTATATAATCTTAGCTATTAGGGAAATCCTACACTCGCCTTAATATCTTTATATTTTTTTGATTGCATTAGCTGGGATTCATAATTGGTATCTAATAATCTAAACTAATCACGACAAATCAAAAAATTAACTTTTTTTCGGGTTTTTGCAAAAGGCGACGAAAGTGTTATATAACGAATTGCGTGTTACAGGAAATATGTATAGACAGATAAATTTGAATCTAAATTCGCTTTTTGAAATTATATGCAGAGACTTCTATCTATTTTCTTCTATCACTGGAGACTATTGCTGACAGGATGTGCAAATCCAACCTCGGAAAAAATAAACGGCAGGAGAATTATAGAACCAAGGGCTGCTGATTGAATTGAAGAAACATCATGTACCTCTGCACCCTTCCAGTAGAGATAGTACTAGTTCAGGATTTGTATTGTCACATGCTCTAGAAAGTATTGTTTTTATTTATCAAAGTGAGGCGGTCACATATTTTTATATATAATTTTTTTTTGTAATAATAAATTTATGTATATAAGGTTCTACATATAAGTTTATTGCTTAGAGGTTGACAAGAAAGGAAAAAGAGACTTTCTACGCGCAACAACAAAAGTGCTTATTTTCAGTTATATAGTTCGGCTATATATTTTCAGCCATAGTTTTCAAATCTGCTTAGAATTATAATTGATAAAAACTTTATTTATAAAGCTTGGCAATCAAAAGTTAAATTCACATTCCGATAAAATATAACTTGAAATCTGCCATAATTAAATTATATTTCAATATTGGTAATGTTAAATCAATCAATTGCGTTGCATTGCTGTATATTTACAAATTTCATGCATAATAACTATGCTAAGCAAACAATTACATTCTTTGTCTTTCTGAAAAGTATTGTCATACAAAAAAAAAGCCCTGAAGATAGTGAATTTCCTTTTTATTCGTCTTTTAATATGCTCGTTAAAGATGAGGAACCTTCGAAAGAAAAATAAATTAAATATACATTTGCCGTCCAATGTTTAATCATGATAATTCTATTAAAATTTCATCCTTCTTTTGGTCTTTTTTCGTGTGTTTTTAACTTTATCCATAAAACAACCCCTTAAAAAAATTTTAAAACTGTAGAGACATTGAAACGAATCTTTGATGCATCTGATGCCAATACATTTTGCATTGACTTGGAAAATTTTTTTGCACAGTTTTACAGCAAAGATATCCATTACAAATTGTAAACTAGCGTTTCTTTGTTCTTATACACCTACTATAAGTTTTTACAAGAATTTTGAGATAAATTCAAAGTGGCCCTGATAGCCCAATTTTATACGTTTAAAATGTGCTACCCATTGTAAGTTATAGTTCATCAATTTGCTACTTCAAGTTTTGAAACCGCTACCCAGTCAATAATAAAGAAGGGACAAAGGGATATGAGTTTGCTATTACTATTGGTATCATTGTTATTATTATTATTATTATTATCAATATTAATTTTTTTTAAATTCAATTTGGTTACCACACCAGGGTAAGCAGGCCAATTTAAATAGTCTATACTGTCTGGGCCTTTAACAAACTTTCATTTAATAGCTTAGCTAAGAAATAGATTCTGTGTACAATTGAAGTGTATTCTGTCGCAAAAGCGGAAAATGGGACTTCCGATTGTGATCACTAGAACGCATAGTAGCTCATTCATCGGATTATGTCTTCTGAATTGTGTCCATATTTGGGCTGTGCAAATGAAAATGCGAACCATGTATACACTCACCCTTTTTTGGTGAATATAAAAAGATGGATATTTACATTGGTTTTGTAACGAATCCTTGATAGCCACTTTAGCGAGAACATATACCAAATTTTTAAAGCTTTTCGTTTCGTCGGCTGATCTATTCAGGCCGTGTGCGTTCAAACCGAATTGGAAGTTAAAAAGATATTTTCTGTGAATCAATTAACTTTAAGGGTAACATTCTGAAATTAAAAAAAGGAGTTTGTTCCAAGTTTTTGATAGAAGCGAATTTCATTACGCTTGACATACGATAACATCAACGAGAAATCTATGATGTAAGCTTCAATGTGTTATCGTAATATTTGTAACTTGGAGAGTCTTAATAGCGAACGACACACGGACAGATGAATGAACGAGTGACATTGCTGAATCGACTTAGAGTTTCAATTTGTTAAAGATATATTAACTTGCGGAGCCCTTGATTCGCACATCTGATGCAGATGAAATAATAAAACGAGTATATGCCCAAGCTTCGCTGTTGCGCATAACAATAATATGAGAGTGTATCCTGAAAATCTACCAAAGTACTGTGTTTTACATATACATAAAATACAAATATACAAACATATACAATGATACACCCACATACATACATAGGCATTCCCGCACGCACAAAAACTTAATATTTTGACACTTTCATTTAATGTGGTTATAAAAAAAGTTGATCGTTTTTGTTTCTGGTCTTGTTACAGATTACAATGACAAGAAAAGCATGATAAAATAAATGCGGTAAAAACGCGTGAAATCCTTACCAAAGAAGCCAATGTAAGTGATGCTATGAAAAAATGTTGTAAATAAACATTGGACGAAAGGGAGAGAAAGAAAGTGCATCATTTTGGAAAAAGTTTTAATTAACCATTTAAGAATTTCATGGGAACAAAGAAAAAAGAAGTAAACGAATTAAACTAATAAAGAGAATAAATAAATAAACAAATTAATAAAGAAAATAATTGAAAAATGCTAAGAAGCTCCAATATATTAATTTATAAGGAAGGATATATAATTTAAAAAAAAAAGATGACTACAACTTTAAAATTTAATGCTCAAAATCCAATGAACTATTTTATGTCTTGGTTGTGGAAAATTTTTCTACTAAGTCATGTCATTCTTTTGATGACTGCTTTAATTAACATACAAATTCACTATGTAACAGCTAATGCCATGGGCGGTAATGTTGCCACGTCCGCCAATTCTGCTAATAATGGTAAGTTTCAATTATAAAAACTTTTTGTAAAAGGATTTTTAAGCTCTCTTGTAGGTTTTTAATTATATATATCATTGTCATTATTATTTCATTGTTCATTATTATTATAATTATTGTTATTATTCTTACTATAAAAAGTTTCAAATATTATTATAATCATATTTATATACACAGCGAATGGGAAAATTTTATTAAAACTTCCCAGTTATTCGCATAAAATATGCATTTTAACAAGTATTTGCCTAGCCGTATGCAACTCTGGTCATTATCACTATTTAGTTGCTAGAGAGAATGAAAGAGAGAAAGATGACAACAACAACAACAATGTATAAATATTCTTGCAGTCATGTATTTAACACATAATTATTTTTGTTATTATTATTTTTATTTTTGCTTTTTCTCTTTTTCGCGTTTTCACCGTGCTTTCATACATTTTGATTAACGTTTTAATGGCTCGATGGTGAAATTAAAAATAAAATAATTATTTATGAAACTTTATTATTATTTCAAGTTTTAGCTGGTTTGCTTGTCTAGTGTTTAACTTTTTGGCGACCGTTGTTGACATTTCGGCTTCTTACAAGTGTTTTACAGCCTACGGTTACGGGGCTTGTGAATGGATGGCATCTGTTTCGATACTTCAGTCATACTAGCCAAGAATAAATGTGTTGCACTACCTATAGCTTCGCTTTCTTCTTGCTCAATTGTTATTGTTATCTCGTATAACGTATTTTGAAGTTTATTTATGAGCGAGACGATATAATCAAGATCTTTTTTACCCTGCATCATTTGTGGTAAAAGCATATTAAGTGTGTGTCCTTACATGCAAAACCCGGAGCGAGTTAAGATAGATCGAATCGCAATTATTTTCTGAATCTAAGCTTGTCTGTCGGTATGCCCATCTGCTCTTGTTCTTTTTTGTGAAATCTGCAAAATTTTCGTAGTAATTAATCATATTACTAATGATATACTTATGTCTTTTGACCCGTGAACGATGGGATGGATGGGATCATTTGCACACCTGCTTGCCACATGAAGAGTTATTTAAAAAAATTTTCTTATATCTAATATTTTTCGGGAAAAAATCGGTGATAAATAATACGTTGACATATCGTTCATATAGGAAATCGCTGATTATTTATGATCTTTTCCAATCTAAACATTCTTAAAAAAATAAAAAAAAAATAAACTCTTTATGGCGACAAAAACTAATTTTTTATCGAACAATGTACACGATAGCGGTACGCCAGAGGTAAAAAATTTACAGTACCAGGTTTGAAATTTATAGGCCCGTTGTTCGCACGTGTTTTGTAATGCTTTTCACGAAAACTGAACATTTACACTCGGACAAGGTACAATTTTCGCTATTTTATGACAAAAACAGATGAGGAGTTGTATTAGAGGAAAACATCTAGTTATATAATGATCGATTTTGGCCGACAATGTTTATTATTAGTTTCTCATAATGCAGAGTGAGCAGCAAAAATAAACCTATCAAAAATTTTAATTAATTAACGGATACTTCAATTATCATATAATTAAATTTTGCTAATCTAACCATTTGATAACATAAGCCTAACTGCAATATATTTAAATTCACTATCGATGTAATATTTACAATTTTCAATAGGTTGTAATTATCTTTAATATATTTGGGTATTAAATAAATAAAATCTTTTTATACATAAATTCGCGAATATGGTATATTTCAGAACAAAATGTATATATAATTTATTAAATTATTCATGATTTTTGCAGATAATTTATATACAAATAACTTGCAGTTAAACAACCGTATAATAATTGCGGGGAGAAAAATGTTCCCTATTATAAATGCAAATGAAAGATAACAAAAACAAACACTTGCAAGCTCCGGATGACGTAGTTACGCTATTCTTCGCGGTATATTGTTAAACGCAAGATAGATAGATATGTAATTAAAGTTTCATTTTTGCCCACAACGACTTTGGGAAAAACTAGTCAGAAACCAACATTTATTAAAATAAATGGTTTTTCTCTTTTTTTTTTCCTATTTTTTCTTTTTTTTTTGAGAATATAATAAAATTATACTTAATCTGTCTGTTAAGTTGTAATTCACATTGTATTGTAATGTAGTGCAGTTTGTTCACTTTTTAGAAGTGCTTTGTTGGGTGTATACTGGCAAAGAGCTTGTTACGCGTCATGTTAACAAGCATTTCGTTGCGTTTGCTCTTAATCGTTATTTTTATGTCTTACCCATTTAACCGCAAATACTGCTGCAGCTCTTAACATATGAGATGAGCAAATGTTTGAACGTAATTTTTTATTTTTATTCTACCTTCTGCTTTTTTTGCATAATCATGCACAAGTATTGTCAACAATTGAGAGCATTGAATAAAGCCAACATCCACACAAAATGGTAAAACGAGTGTAATAATAATAACAATAACAATGAAGTAATGGCAATAGCAATTATTAAAAGTGTACTTTCCTTTAAGTAGATTTTAAATATTTCATTTTCGATAAACAAAATATAAAATTTTTAAATACATTTGAACATGGCCGGGGTATCGTTTAATCTTACTGAAAATATGTAGAAAATTTATAATAATATAATGGTCTGCAAAGAAAGTTTTTAATCTCCAAACAAAAAATATTTGGTTGGGTTACCTTCTCCAGTAAATACTTCCGTTCTCCGTTCCGATTTTTGCTACTCGTGTCCAAAAATTGAAATGTATTTTAGACAATTCTATTACACCCTGCATTGGTTTGGCCAGGTGTATATTAAGACGTTGTAGTTGTATGCAACGTTCAGTACGATTTGTGGAATATGCCTACAATTGATTGCACCAATCTTCTTCGGACACTTTCTGAATATGGATTTTGAACGTCGATTCACTTTTTGGTCTTGCTGTAAATAAGAATTCTTTCGAAGGAAGAAGCAACAACAAATAGTTTTAGTGGAGAAACATTGTAGGGTTTTTTAAAAGCAAACAGACTGTAAGATTTTAAGCTTTGTCTATATAAGTTCCTTCAATTCGAGGAAGACGTTAGGGGTCTCTGATGCGGGCAGCGTCCAGGCCGAGTTAAAGGATAGATCCCATGTTTGTGCTCCTTTCTCTCTTTTTATACTTTTTATTACCTTAAGGGATATGATGCATATCCGTTGGTGGGAGGTTTTGTCCTAATAAATTGTATGACGTTGTGTAGCGTGTTTGCGCTTTGAACAAACTGTCATATTCGGATATTGCCCTAGTCGTGCATAGCTAATTAATTGTTTAATCCTTTTGTCCACTAATCAAAGACCGAACAGGTTTCTTTTCTGATGTTGCGAAGGAAAACCGGATACATAGGCACACATCATTAACGGCCAGTAACCGCTAGAAAGACTCGGGTTTGTGCGATTCTTTGTTAGCTTAGCTCAAAATACGTGTTAATAACCTCGCTTGTTAGGGGGAAGCAATTAATAAATACCCGTTGCTTTCGTTGACTAAATGTAGGATTTTTTGCAAGTTTTTTAAGCGCATATGTTCCGATAGTAAGTGAAACAATTGAAAAATAAGGTTTTTAGGAAAGTTTATAAAATTTTTGAAAAACATTGAATAGCGCCCGCTGTTTTCAAAAATTGCATTGCCTACTTCTTCTTGCTTAAATAAACATGGAATTAAAGCATCTTGTTTTGGGCAACCCTTTAAATTTTAAAGCTTGCTTGCACATACTGCTATTTCAAATTTTACGAATATTTTTTCTTTTTAATTAAATCTGGTTTTTGGCTTTTGGTTTTAGTATGTAATCCTTACGTTTCCCTTTTTTTGGGGGTTTTATGTATTCAAACTAAACAACTTGCTAATTTTGTACACTAGAGTTAAAGTTAAGACTGAATAAATTTATGTACATAAACATTACTTTCTCCTGTAGTAGTCTAAATAGATTTAGAAGCATTTCTATTGAATGCGTATGTGCATTTGTTGTATTTTGTATTCTGAATATTTCTGTCTGCGGTTGTAGCGGTACTCGAAAATTAACGAGCTCACTTCCTGCCGTTTGGCAATTTAACATAGTCAGAGTGTTACAGCTACACAACTACGTACGTATAAATTCATTTTTTTTGTTAGTTTGGTTATGGTTTTTATATACCTACTAGCGTTTACGTTTTACCATGTGTATATGTGCGAATGTGTATATAAATTACAGTTAAACAATAATAGAAAAAGAAGAGGAAAGAGGAGAACTTTAGTTTACAACGCTGTAGAGTAGTAGAAGTCGCCTTTTCCCCGCAAATTTTCTGCCTGACTGCCAGTGTATACTGTGACTTTTTAACAGAGAAAGACCTTTAACAATTTTTATCACTACATGCATGTTTTAGTTTGCATCTTTTGCATAAATTAGAAGCACCACTAGTTTGTAGCAGCTTTAGTACTACGAAGGTATATCGGTATGTATTTTTTCCAGTACAGTGAATTCCTTATATATTTTTTTTATTTCCCGTCCAGGAAGAGAATACGTTAAATTTATAATAACGTTCGAAACTAAAAATATGCAGAAATATGAGACTTCGCCAAGTATCCATGCCCCTACTCAGCGCAAATCTTTTATCGATTTTCATGCGATTACTCTTTGCTACAGTTTACCATGAATTCAAAAAATCAAATAATTTTCCAATAGTCACGATGTTCGCTCCCTTGTTATTATATTAGGCTAATGCAACTCGAACAGAATCGTTTTAATTTTTGTAGTTTACTAATCATAAAAATATCTATCTATACGAAATTTGTCATTAGTGTTTATTAAATAATTTATTCTATTAATATACGTACGCCCCAGCTAAAGTAGCAATTTTTTTCTTTTTTCATTTTAAGCGATGAGTATAAAAGATTCGCTCTAAACTGTACATAGTGTTCTTGGATGGCTTTTTGGTGCGCTTTTTTCATCAAATTTTCAGTTACTTTAAGTGAGCTCAAGAAACGCCACAAGTGGTCTATAGGGCTATATAGTGTTTTTTCACGGTGATATTCAACTGTATA